AAGTGAATAAGGTACCCTGCAAGTCTGGATGACATGAGTGACTGTTTTCTCTATTTATTTGTTAATGCTACATTTCAAGTGCCTCATCTGATGTGACCAGGGTGTTCAAGCCACCCCTGCAGAGCATCCAACTTGAGGCACTTTAGCCATATTTAATAAAGAAAGATGCCAATTCTTGCAATGAAGATAGAAGTCTTATAATAACATTACCCAGTACGTCTCTCTCATCAGAACTGTTGAGTAGCCTTCTGTCTTACTAAAGGAAAAAGGGTATGTTTTCTACTTAATTTGTATAGGTTATGAAGTGTTTTTTTTGATAGCTCTTAAAGGTTAAAATGATCTTTTTTAATGAGCTTTCAAATGTTGCCTCAGGTATAAACATGATGATAGGCCCCTAACAAACTCAGAAAACATCTTCAGGCATGATGCTCCAAGAGTCAATTGACATAGTATTTGCTTAGATAAAAAAGAGCACTGTAAGCCTGGTGGCATTGAAAATGTACATACATTACAAAAAATTACTATCAAAAGGAAGAAAACTATAAATGGTAATATATAAAAAAGAAATCGAGAATAAAAGTAGAACAGAAAGACAATGCCGGTGATCACAGGGCTGCTCAGCAAATGGTTGGATTGTTTTGATTTGTTTTTCAATTTGAAAGACATTTGAAAATTCCAAAAGAAAATGTATTTAAATGTATAATGTCTTTTGCACAGAAGACATAAAATAGTATGTATATAATACACTATATTGTCAAGACGGGTCCATTTAGCTGCCACAGTAACACCACACTTTCATTCTTCACGTCACAGGAAATGAGTCCACAAGGCTGCTTCACAAAGTTTTTTCAGGCTTTGTCACCCTGCCACCTGGCACTAGCTGCTGAATACCATCACCTGGCCTGCTTCCAGGAGTGGGCCGACTTTCCTGCGTTATTACATTTAAAAGTGCCTCATACTTGGTCTTTTTCACCCCAGTCCTGGGGTAGACCTAACTTTTTTCTGGAACCTCACTATAGTATTTTGCTAATTAATATTGTAGCAAATTTGGGTTCTTGAGCATGTGCCCTCGCCGCTCCCGCCCTAGTTCATCCCTCACCGCATTGGGCTCGGACCTGGATCTCTAGCGTCACTCAACACGGGAATTGCCGACTGAGCTAAAGAAGACCTTCTTCAACCCGGGCGGCCAACATCCCTGTTATGCGCAGGGGCAGAATTCGTTACGATATAATTAAGCAGCAACAATTTTTCATTAAATAAAACCAAGAGCAAACAGCTAAACGGGCAAGCAGCTGTGTGCCGTGTACACAAGAAATCACAGCACAAGCGGAAATTCAAACTCAGAGCCAAGGGAAACAAGCAGAGTCCGTAAACAAAGAGGCACAGAATGAAGGACAAGAGGAGAATCCAATGAACATTGTCAGGACCAAGAGAGGGTTCAGAGTCAGGAAACAAACACAGCAAGAGTTCAAACATAATGAACTTCATGACAAAGTTCCCAAGCACTGTCATATCACAGCTTATCTAGTCTTGAACCGAATGAGGTGTATTGGTGTGCTGTGTGGTTTGGTGGGACTGGTGTATTATTGCCTCCAGGGATTACAAGACTCCTGTTGAATTCATTACCATGGTAACCAGCTGTTACGTCCCAGTGTGTGTTCTGTGTGTGTATGTCTGTTATGTCCACACTGCTGACCCTTGATTGTTCTCCCTTCCTCATTGGCCCACCATTACACCACACTTTCAGTATGATGTCATCATCAATTAGCTCCCAGCCAATTAGAACACATCTTATTCAGCATATAACATGGAGATTTTCAGCAAGGAAAGACCTTTTGTTTGAGTTTGGTCCCGTTTGGTTTTGGTTATCGCTTTGCTTTGCTTTTGGTTATTGCTTCGGCTTTGTTGGTTTGTTGTTTTGCTTTGTGTGTGTGTATTTTCGTATAGCTTTGGCTTTGTTGTTTTGTTGGTTTTCTGTTAGTTTCTTTGTACTTTCGTTTGTTTGTGTGTTTATCCTTGTTTTGCCATTACCTTGCCCTAACGTGCTACATGTTCAACTTTTGTGTTCTTTGTACCCTGTTCCTGTTGATAACTCTCATTTTCCCTTATTTGTATTCCTGGTTCACTTGTGTTTTTGTGTGAACGTTTGTATATAAGGTTAGTTTAGGTTATTGGGTACACTTTATTCACTTAGTTGACTTTGTATTAGTAACACTAGTTTAGTACGGGTGAGTGCCATTTGTCTTGTATGGTTTTGGGTAGTCAGTGCAGTTAGCTAGGGTGTTGAAGACGCCGAAGACCGTGTGTTTCAAGTTTTCTTGTGCAGTCAGGTTAGCTTTCTCTCACTGTCCTAGCCAGCTCCATTTTGTTTGTTATTTTCTTTTCTTTGGCACCACTCTAGTTCCTTACCCTTGTTATCACGCTTCCTAGTCCCTCACCAAAACCCACCTGCTTCCAAAAGAATTATCCTAAATGTTACACCCCGATACCCCCTAGACACTTGGGGTCGTAACACCAGCTCTTAATGACAGGAGATTTTAAGTGATCCAGCTACCATGGGGATACTAGCTCGGCACACCACCCATCTGTAGAGACGAACATGACACCCACCTTATACCTTTTCAGCGATGGAGCCAACAAGGAGCTACAGATGATGTAGTTGTGGAGGTCATTGGAACATGCCTCTACCTCCAAAAAATACAAAGGAACAAATTGCAGACAGTTTGTTGTAGTGTAGAGCCACACATTGCAGTTTTTCAGGCACTTTCTAAGGGTGCGCTCAATGAGGTCCCACTGGAGCTCCAACAGCTCAATGTCTCATTGAGTGGAACTTTTGAGATCAACCCAGGACTTTCTGGAAGGGCTGTTTATCTCTTTTGCTGACCTTTTAATCCTTAGGGATCTCCAAAGGGGAGGTGCAACCCCTTTTCAGAAGAAAAAACATGTCTGAACCTTTCAACTCAGTACAATTCAATACAACAGGGCCTTGGGTGCAACAGTCCAATCCAAAATTTGAATACATTTTCCTTTGTCATACAGAAAGTATGTAAGTTAACACAACACAAGTAGTGGAGACACAGGACATAGGCACATTTATGAATAGTTTTTTGTCAACATATACCATTGCTCCTATAAGCTAATGTAGTTAAGACTCATATTAAGACTAACATATTTTTATGAAAGAGGAGATCACCTGGCATGTGATAATACCACATCATTGGCTGAAGTCAAAGAGAGACTAAGAGATAATCAGCTGGCAGGAATAAAAGTTGAGAACTTGTTGACTATCCAAGCTAACTGAGAAAAATGCTCTTGGTGATCTTGTCAGAAACATGTGACACCATTATAAAACAGCTCAGAGAAAGAGAACCATGATTCTCTACTCACTGGCTTGTTAAGCCAACAACAATAGGAGCCCATGGAGAAAAAAAAAGAAAAATGTAAAATGACTGTAGAGGCAAGAGACAGTTTCTAAATTGTAAATCTAAACAAAATGGAATGGTAGGGTGCTGAAATCCTAAATCATTAAGCTTAATTTTGTGATTGCAGTCATTTCTCGCACATTTGTCATATTCCCATGCTTTGGACTTGGCTAAGCATTTAATCTTCTGTGAATGCATAAGTGATTCAGTAATCGCCACTGACCTTGACATTGACAAAAAGGTCACCAGGGAGCTGAAGAATTTGCATTCCCATGGACAATTTACCAAGGCATGTAGAACAATTAGTAAACTAGATAAAAGACATTGTGCTTTTACTCCTAGGGATTGTACCTTTAATGGTAGTCTCAGGCACTTTGACCTTGCAGTTCATTATGATAGGATTCAAGTCGATATAGCTTAGGCTTTTTTTGTTTGACAGTTTTAAATAGATGATTAACAAGAAAACTAATCTGTTAATAATATTTAGAATGCTTCGTTAAATAACATTACAATAAACCAAAAATGAGTTAATTGTAATGTGCTGTATAGTAATTCAAAGACTGAATGGACAATCAGGCTCCAATGCTTATTTCAGCATCATTTTCATATGCAGAAAAAAAGACTGCCGCATTACTTCTAAAATATGCACAGATACCATATACATATATAATTTAATATGGGATTTGTTGTTGATCCTCTTGTTCCAAATCAGAAGAAAATGATTAAGCTTTTGTGTCTCTAATACACGGAACATCTGTTTCATGTCTCCACCAAATAATTGCACACCTTCCTGGGCTAAGGGTTTAGTTTTCCAGCAGAATAAATAGACCTCCCAACTGAGCTGCTATGTTCAGAAAACACGCAGTGCTCCTGGTTTACTTTTCCATTTAATTTAGCCATAACCCTTTAAAAGGCAAAGCTTTTCTTGCACAAGATCATTCCAAGGTGGTGGGGCTGCAGACATCAGCAATTTCATGCCGGTTCAGTTGCAGATAGATATAATCAGCAAGTACAATATGGTTTCATTGGTGTTGGTTATGGATCTACAGTGTATTGCTTGCATTCTCTTTGGGCATTGGTCACTGAATGAGTTGGTGCAGGAATATGTCAACTAAGTCGGACTGTAAACCATTTTATAGTCACCAGTACCATTAATAATCAGTGTTCTGATAATAGGTGGATGAATGTTAACCATTTCATTTTGCCCATGTCTTTGTCCTTTCAATTGTGAGTGTCGAAAACATGTCAATGAGAATACCAAGACAGAATGCAGTGATGGATTTTGTTGTCCTATTGTCTATATGATTTAACATGCAGTACTCCTTCTGTATCCATCCACAAGAAAATTATTCTAAAACCTAAAACATCAATACTGAATAAGAACAATTATAAACAGAACAATTAGATTAACTAATCAAAGTTTATCAAAGGGGGGGGGGCATGTTTTTTACTCTGTTCTGTACTGTATTTGTCTGTTAATCCAACAGGCTTTCATACTGTAGATTTACTAGTCCAATGTAATTTTTTTGAGTCATTGTTATCTAAATCCTTTTAATCTTTTCTGTTGTATTTCATTAGTTAACTACAGTCGCGTGGGGCTCCATGGGACCTGCAAGGAGACGTTTTGTGAAAGAGGGCGCCAGTGTGTGGTTGGCGAAGAGACAGGGAAGGCAGAGTGTGTGTGTCTAGAAAAGTGTCACCCCACTTTTGTGCCCGTCTGTGGATCAGATGGAAGATTTTATGAAAATCATTGTGAGGTTTACCGCACCTCTTGTCTTCAGAAGAAAAAGGTCTTCGTTGTGCACAGCAAGGACTGTTTCTTCAAAGGTAAGAAAGAACCATTGCATGCATCATGTACAGTATCTGCATTTCAACTGTTCTACTGTTTAACTGTTTCTGCTGCAAACTGTTAAAAAAAAGAGATGAGGAAGTGACATCCAGGAAGTAACATAGCACTTCGTATTAGATTATGTTTTCCACACAGTTCACAGTTTCACTTTGTGCAACTTTCCATGTGCAGCAAAATCTTCTCGACCTTACCTTTGCATGTTCTGAGGTAAACGGTGTCTGAGACATTGTTTTCCTGGAATTCATCTCAAATGTGTAGTCCCTAAAGCATAGCTCTTTCAGTAAACCCCATTGGAAAGCATGTCAAGGAATAGAAGTCAGGAGAGATGAACGAGTACTAAAAACCCATCTGTAAATCTTCAAAGAAATTCATCAGCAGTCAATTTATTTTACTTACTGTAAAATCAACTTTCTGTTGCCTTTACCATATACAGTATCTGAATCTTAATGCCTAGAAGTGACTTTCAACTATCTAGTCTGTTGTGATATATGGAGAAAGACAAACGTTTTCCAACTAGAAATCAAATATATAGTATGCTGTTGAGAATATATATATATATTCTAGACTGTCTTGCTTTGTCCTTAACAAATTAACACTGTTTTGTGTTTGAATTTGTGGAAGTTATTAATCATAATATGGACACAAAATGTATCAGAAATGAAACTGAATTTGCATGAGCAATTAATATGAATTTCTTACTGAATGAAAAATGTAAATAAAGACAACAGAATTGATTTAATTTGAATGAAAAAATGGTATCCTAGATTATATGTTATTGAACTACTGTATGTGGCTGCAGTGTTTAACATTATAGGCAAGTCTCTAAAATCAGTATGCATGCTTCATTTTTTTGATAGAACAAATGCATCTAAGGATGTGTTTATAACAACAACCTCTATATGGTGTAATGTAAAAATATTTCAGTTTCATTTTAATTGAGCATTTGAAGGGAAAAAAGTGGTTATTCAACATTGTAATATTATAATATTGTTCTGAATTCATAAAACCAGTTTTTATCTATACTGTAGGTTTACTATATACCCAAAAGGCTTTTAAAATTTGTGTTGCACTGAACAATAAAATATGAATCCATTAATTAATATACATATTTTAATTATATTGATGAGTTCTATAATCTGATTCAAGTTCAAAGTATAAAACAAAAAATGTTTCCCATGTAAGGTTATTTATAGACTTGTGCAGTAAACAGGATAGCCTTTTCGCTGAACCTTTTGATGAGACTTAAGATTTACTTGTGGCACTGAATCTCAGATTATCACTGATGTTTGTTAATATGATAGGGTTAATAACTGAAGTCATGAACTATTCAGAACAATTAACATAGCAGTCCTCCAGATGTGCCTTTGTACAGTAACTCCAAGCTGCTAGGCAAGTTTACATTGGGTTTCAGATTCAAATAACTTTTATAGGAACGAAACCATATATAAGACTAATAATAGACAAAAATGCTGGATAGTTGTGCAACTAGCTGTTTGTTTGGGCAATGTTTTCACTTTCTGAACATTACATAATTACTGTCCATATTTGCCTTTGAATTAATGGTTGTAAGTACTCTTATAAACTTTACAAGAAATTGATTTTTTATATATTCTTATATATAATACTTTATTTGTGCAGGTGCTTTATACCAAGGAGAGTGCATTCCATTACATTTTTCTTCTCTCTCTTCTGCAACAGTTAATTTTGAATGTCAATTTAAAAAGGTAACAGGCTCTGAAATGCCATATTCCAGTGAGAGTGTGAACTGTGTTTGATGGGAAGCCTTGTGTAATCGTCAATATTTAATAGAAAACTACCAAACACACTAGTCAAACTGAAAACTGAGGCACAATAATGTACCGTAGGATATCAAAATTATGTTCAAGTTAATTAAATAATATTTAAACTTGGGTGACTAAAATGTCTACTGTCTTCAAATTCTAATTTATATAGTTTACAAAAAATGTGCATAATACAAATCATACCCTAGTAGAATAAGGCATAAGCCCAGAATAAGGCTTGAATAAAATAAATGTAATAATGATTATTAATTTTGGTACAGTACATAGTTAAACGTCCTTTAAATTGTGTGCACACTTTTAGCTGTTTTTAGCACCTATTAAATTAGGTGCTGTTAACTCAAAATAACTGAATCAGTCTTTTGCATCAATGCTACATTATGTGGTCAAAATTTTGTAGTTAAACTCTTTTTTGTCACCTATAATTGGAGGAGCATAGTGATTTATAGATCTTGCTAGCATGTCTTATTTTGTACCTATGAAATAATGGGTGCAATTTCACAGGCAGGCAAACTGTGAGCAAATTGCCCATTTAGTTAATTTGTTATGAGGTGGGCAGTTTGCCCACAGAGAAAATAATTACCTTCATTAGTCATGCACATTTTTTCAATTGTCCTTCTAGACTCTGTAGAAAAGAAACTGGAATTATCTGAGCAATTCCAACACCTATGCAAAACAAATCTCAAAGGAATGAAACATTTAAAACATATTAGGAAGAATTAGGAATAATGAAACTACTAATATTTAGAATGGTTTTGATATTTTAAGTTTTCACCAATACCTAGAAGTTGACACTTGACAAGATATTTACACACAAGGGATAAGTAGAACCCATTTCCTGAAGAGACTAGTTATTTTCTTTGCTGTTTTTTGTTTACCTTTGAGGTTTTAAAGAAATGTTGTACCTGAGTAGTGTTGTAAAACTAACAGTTGAAGGTTAGAATGTGCAGTAACGGATTTGCATGCAGGAATTAAAATTCTGAATCAATAAGTTTGCATGGCAGTGGGAATAGTTAAAGCCAATTGATTTTTACTCTTATCCCTTTGTGGTTTTCTTAAAGAGACTTTTTTGCAGGCATCTTTTTTATCACCGATTTTAGCACCGATTTTGGGAGATTATAGTCTGCTGTCTACTCAATAGTATTGATGTTACTAAATTTGTATTGGATACAGATTGCACCATAAGAAGAAGTGACACTTGTAAAACGTCAACCTTGATGGCATTGTTGCAATGAGCTATATTTTGCATTGACTTACAGACGTTCAGTGACATATGAAGTAATAATGAGGAAGTGAATAATCTGCTGTACCCTAATCTGTGGTTGTCCAGTGATAAATACAATGAGCATCAAAAAAAATACATACATACTGTATGCATGTATGAAAATAAAGATTTTTAAAGGCTGACTAAAACAGAAAGGAACCAACATGGCCTGCTTATCAAGCGAACACTGTCTGCCACAACACAGTCTGTCGATGATGCCATGCCTGCGATATGTGTGCGTCCTAATGCCCAGAGTCACCATGCTGTAAAAAGGTTCTGTTCTTCAAATGAGACTTAAAACCGAGGTCCTGACTCTCTGTGGTCATTAAAATCCCTTGGGCATTTCTTGAAAAGACAGAAGTGTTACCCTGACAATCCTGGCCAAATTTCCCATTTACCTTAACCAATCATGGCCTCCTAATAATCCCCATCTATGAGTTGGCTTCATCATTTTGTTCCCCTCCTCACTATGAGCTGATGTGTGGGGAGCATACTGGTGCACAATGGATGCCATCACATCATTCAGGTGGATGATGCACATTGGTGGTGGTGGAGGGAGGGGGACCAGAAAAGTGCTATGTACAGTAAGCGTAAGAAATTATTATTAGAATATTCCAGTAGCTGCTGAAACAATAAGGGTTTTCTGGCAAGATAAGAATGACATTTTTGCATAAATGGGGACAACATAGGACCTAGAACTCAGAAATGACTGAACAGGCCTGTGCTTGTCCAGGCTGTATAAGAATGGGACATATTTCCAAAGGGCAGCATCTGCAACCAGGTGTGAAGCATTCTTCTCAGAATGCAGTTTACTGTATATTACTTAAAATGGAAGCCATACACACTAGTAGCCAGTGTACTTCACAGCAGATTCCCTGTTGAACGATCCTATTGATCGGATGTGCTAGTGAAATGTTAAACAATAATACATTTACTTATGTCATGTCTCTTCAATATGTCAGTCCACTTGCTACAAAAAGAATTTTCTTTTAATAGCTTCGTGAATTTGTGGAAGTTGTAAGGGATACATTACCTTTGATCCACAGTGTACAATTAGTCTTTTTTTGGTGGGAGAAAAAAAGTTTTTTAGCCTTGGCTTTTACAAAGTCATATACTTTAAAGACATAATGTAATACAGCTATCATGCAAACCCAAAGGTCTTGCTTTGTTGCTTTTACAGTATTGTCATTCTGTACCCACTTTATACACAACTATAGAGAGACAGTCTTCTAGATAACACTTATTAAAATAATAAATGGTTTAAACCTTCCTTACTAGTTGGCCACAACTACTTGGAAAATGATTAATACACATTTTAATAAGCTGGCTTTAGTTTCCATGTTAAATGATTTATAATTAAAGAATGACCTTTTCTGCTAGTTCTCTGAATGACCCTTTTTAATTCACACAAGTGCAAAAAAACAAAAACAAAAAAGTATCTTAAATGGCTTTTATCTCAAGCACCCATTAAAAGAGAGAGAGTGAAAACACACAACAAAGTAAGTAGACTTTTGTCAAAAGCCTTGCACAGCAGGGAGTCTGCAAAGAGAGGATTGACCGTCCTCTCTGATTCATCAATCTAAGACATGAATTCCATTCAGCAGAGGGGAGCAATGTGCTCAGACACATGAAAGTTTCTGCCTCAATCTCTAAGTCATGTTAAGTACAGAGTTCAGCTGGAGGATTCATCATTACTTCATTTTTATCACTGATCAATTCATCCACCTGTTAGAAAAATAAACTACAGTGAAACTGGTCCATGGTTAATTATTATTTGTTACAATCTTTCCAACCATGATTAAAATTATTATTCAGCCTGTTTTTCTAGATATTAGTGGGCATCAATCAATTTAAATGACATTTCAAGTTGTTATATTACTGTATATTATCAGCTCTGCTTCTTAATGTGGCTTTA